CTGAGAATGAATTACAAGGTTCTGAAAGCACTAAGAGAAATCTGTACCAGCAGATAATGCGGGAACTTAATTCTGCATGGGCATCTAGATAGAGGGTATACAAGCGATGCAAGTACATGGCTTTATTTACTTTCTACAGTTTGAGAATTCAAAATTTCAGATTAGGAGCCCTGCATCATTAGGTTCTGGGGCTGATTCACTTCCAGACTGCTGGTTTTACTTCCTGCTCATGTTCAGAGCGAAGAGAGGGAAGCTGTCTCAGGACTCTGAGAGTCTTAACTATGCTTCTCCTGAGCTATCGTAATCACCTCCCACGGACCCAAAGTGCTAATACTACCACCTTGCTTATCTTCTTGGAGTTCAAACATATGGATTTTAGGGAAATGCAAAATTCCACCTAGAACATCTTGGGTCAGGGATGAATAAAGAAGAAAGAAGTGGAAGCTGAGGAAGAGTGTTTTAGATTAATGAGGGGTTTGGGAATTTTCAGGAACGCAAAATGTATGCATCATACATGCATGAGATCATGGTCTTTGCACATGTAAATAAACAATGTAGTCTCTAGTTACAGCGCTATAAAAAGATTTTGAGAAATAGTATGTCATAAAATATTTTGAAGACTATAGAATAAATACATTTAAGGACAAATATTTCTAATCTTTTGATGACTACCAATTTACTGCCTTCAAGTATGCATTTAATTGGCATTTAATTGTAGTAAGATTTCTAATGGACTGAAAAAAAGTATAAAATCCCTCTGGTAATAAACTCTGAAAATATAACATTTTCACCCTATTACACACACACTCACACACACCACACACACACACACACACATAAAATGCAAATCTTGGAGTTGGCACTGTGGCATAGCCAGCAAAATTCCTCCCTGTGCTGCTGTGAATCCCGTATGGACTCTGCTTCAAGTCCCAGCTGCTCCATTTCCAATCCAGATTCCTGTTGATGTGCCTGGGAGGTAGGAGAGTATGACCCAAGTGCTTGGGCCCTTGCACACACATGGGAGATGTGCATGAGGTTCCTGGCTCCTGACTTCCTTTTCCATTACCTCACCCATAGAGGTAGTCATATTTAAGTGGCAGAAATGCTAACTGGCTTTTACCTTCACACACTGAATTCATGTATTTCATTATCATATTGTATCACAGCCATATGTACATCAAAACTTTCAAATGAAAAATGCAAAAAATAAACATAACAAAACAAAATATTCCATATGATTATTATGTTCTAGTTGGGGAAATTTAGTAATAGCTCACTGGTAATGAAGGCATCATTTCCACAGCTGTGATTGTGTATAAATCCCAACTTCGTGATTCCTCAAAAATAGCATTATAAGTATGGTTTCTTAGTGCATTTTTGACATTTACGTAATAGTGTTTGAGACCATAGGTTAGAATATAGACAGCACGAGCTAGAGGTTACAAGGATAGTGACTAAAGTTTAATTAGGTTAAGTTTTTATTCAAACATCTACTGACAGTGATTTGTTTAGACACTGGAAATACATCAGAATTAAAACTCTTGGGAAGCAGAGGACAGGTCAGTGACAGAGGTATGCCTAGAGACCCATGGACATGGAGAGAGCACATTGGAGCAGTGAGCAGACATCCCAGCGCAATCAGAGCTCCACTGGCAGGCAAGTGGAAACACGGGAGGTGAATCAAGCAATAGAATTGCAGGTCTTGCTCATTTTTAAAAAAAATCTGTCATTGATACTGTCTCAACCCAGATGTTTCGAAGAATGGAACTTGCATTATTTTTAACATATTGTTTACCCAATACTATGTCAATTAATTCCATAATGTTGTATATTGATACTGAGGCCTTGTTGGGGCTTTTAACTGACTGGATCTTTACTCTGTTAGACCTATCTTCAGACTATAGAAGGTCTCCCCAAGAGGCCACTGAACTTATCTGGACAATAAGACGCTGAACTTTATGCTAGGCATGTGTTTGCAAGCAATGAATCTCAACTGAACTTGAACTATGGTTATGCAACAAGGTGGAGGAATCCACCATGGGGGGAGGGGTATGGGAGGGGTGGGGGGAATCCCCAGCGCCTATAAAACTGTACTACATAATACAATGTAAGCAACAATAAAAAAAAAAAATCCCGATCACAAGCAGATTTTATTTTTTTTAAATGGAATCATGAGCAGAAGCTAAGTGACAATGCCCTATTGGACTGGCATGGGAATGAGTTAGATATCATGGCCCAGACCCCACCAGTGCCACCAAATATAGAAAGGGCAGAGAACATCAAATAAATTTGACCAGAAGTGATATGAGCTATGACCCAAATCATCAAACTCACTTTTGTTGAATGTAAAGAGAAGATACTTAATGTGCACATATGAAAAGTCAATTAACTTACGCAGGAACTTCAATTAGACTTTCTTGTCGGAGGAAACTCTATAATCCAGAGAGAATCGAATGATATATTCAAGGTCCTAAATGAAAATAAGCAAAATAAACAAACAAAACCAACTATCAGCCCAGAATAATATAATTAACAAAGCTTTCCTTTTATTTGAAAATGAAGCAAAATACTTTCAAAGCAAGCAAAAACGGAAAGATTTCACCTCTATCAGATCTGCCCTACAAATGTTGTGTTTTAAAGATGTACTACAGATCCCATTTGTTGTTCATTCCTTAATTTCCTGCGATGAACAGGGCTGAGCCTTGCCAGGGAAGAGAACCTGGTGCCAAGCACTGACTCTGGGCCTCCCTCAAGGATGGCCAGTTTTTGATCCATCACTTACTGTCTGCCAGAGAGTTCATTATTGGGAAGCTGGGATGAGGAACAGAGTCAGAACTGGACCACAGGCACTCTGATAGGGAATATGGGCACTGAAACAGAATCTTAACTCATGGGTCAAACATCCACTCAATTCTTCAAATATAAATAAACATAAATATTTATACACATATGAATGTGTATAAATATGAATGAATATTTTCTGATAGGTAAGAATAGTTATTGTTTTTAGATTTGTTTAGTTTTTTTCTGGAGGTCAGAGTAAAGGAGGGGGAAAGATAGATTTTACATCTACTGCTCACTCTCTAATGATCACAATGATGGTGCTAGACTAGGCCAAAGTCAGGGACCTAAAATCCATCATTCAGACTTCCCACGTGAGGGCAGGAACTCAAGGACTTGGGTTGTGTCATGCTGCTTTCTTGGGTTATTAACAGAAAGTAGGGTCAGAGGAGAGCAGCTTGGGCTCAAATCACCACATAGGGTGCCAGTGTTATAGGTAGTAGCTTAATAACAGGGTGCCAGCAATTTTCTGCCACTTTTCTTAATTTAAGTCACATTTTTCATTATTGTAAACTGAGAGATTTTTAAATCATACATTTCCAAAAACCATTTTTGAGATTTTTTTTTTTCATTTGGATCTTGCAAAGGAAATGATGACATAGAGTTTCTAGATTAGATAGTGTCTATCTAGGCTTGAAACTCTTATGATATTTAAAGTCCATTTTTAACTTACAAAGAATGAGAAATTGCAAGGACTTCACATTCCCAATGTGCCTGAGGCAAAGATGGTCCTGAATTCAGGTTGTACTATTACTTGTGGCAGACAAAGCTCAAAATCTAAAAAAAGGTGTGTTCTTTAAATAGCATTTGTGTCTTGTGAAAAAAAATCATTATTTCATTTAAAGAGGTCAGGAGTTTTACTATTTTAGGACTTACAGCAAAGTCATAAAATGACTGAATCAAAACTGCTTTATTTTATCTTTAGGTTTGAGGGAAAACTTCACATTTATTTTATTTTCATCAATTCATTATGTGTGTGGATTCTGAGTTTTCAAATTTCCATAGTTTCATTTTAAAAGAAAATACAAGTATACAATTAAATGATTTTAAGAGTGGACTTGAATTAATAATATAATTAAGTAGGTGGGAAAATGATAATATTTCATAATCAGTCCCAAATCAGAATATTTGGGTCATCAAGAAAATGACATTTCATAAGTTAGGGATTGGGTATGTGTATGATGAACTGTTGGCAGAAGACTGGCACATGCCAATCATTTGAGTCACATGCGTTAAGAAAGGTGGAAGCAGAAACAAAGTGCTGCAGGACAGACCGGTCTATTTCTCTGTTGCAGTGATGAGCTGACTGTGGGGTTCTGGTCTGGCTTGCCCTGCTCCATCCACTCCCTTACACTCACAATCTGTCCTACCACACAGTTGTCTGCATGACTGAACTCTGCAATATGCAGCCTACACAGAACAATCCAGTTTCTTATTACCATTCTTAATCCTCGTATTACTTGTTCAGCCCAGAACAATATTTATCAGTGAGTTCCTGGCCACTGTGAACATTAAACCATTTCATAGGCTTTTTATTAGTATTTCCTTTTTTTTTGCCCCCCATGAGACGCAGGTTAATTCAATAACATTGGCCTAAGGTAACATCCCTTGAATCACAGCAGTAGCCTTTCTTTACTATGTGATCCATGTATATAGTATGATTTAAGCCACCCTGTAAATTTCATCTGTTTAGGTACACTCTTCCTCAGAGGTTTCATTTTCCTGTAAAAGGTAAATGGCTCCTTTGCCCCACAACTATGTAAAGATTAGATATTTTGATTCATGGGGCAATCTTATACTGCTTTTAGAAGAATGAATTCTATGGTTGATTCATTGAATACCAGATTCTGTGGAATGTCATAGAATTACCTGTAAAAAGAAATATGGTACAGGAGCACAAGCGTCCAGTGTTAGTCATCACTTGTTACAATTTCCTTGCAAAATCTTGTCTCTCTTCACTGCACTATTGAATTATCTATTATTCATTTCACATTTTCTCAACTTTATTCAGCTTTTATCAGGCAATGTGTGAGGTGGTGGAAACAAAATTCTGAGATTTTTTTTAAATACTGTTTAAAGAATATATGGAATATACTGATCTCATTAATGGTTGTTTCATCAACATTTAGTGTAATCATAAAATTACCAGAAGTTAAATTAATCATGTGTATGGTATCATTTTATGTGCAATCCTTGCACAGAGGCCATGCTAATCATTTGTTCATCTCTGTATCATTCCAATTTTGGTATTTGTGCTGCTGACACAAGCAGGTATTATTTCGTTTTATTGCATGATATATCAAAGAATGTTTATATCCTGGATTTATTTATTCACTGATGACTCTTACAAACAGATCTGTGTGAATACTTATTGGATGTTAATGGGAAAGATACACAGAGTATCTTAGCAAATATGTAGTACATAAAAAGAGAAGAGAGTAAGCTTGACATCAAACAACAAGCCCTCTCCAAGAGAAAGCATGTTGCACAAAACGAAGTCGATGAATAGGTTTCAGAAGCAGTGTGCATGGAATGTGTTCAGCCCTGGACTCGCAGGTCATCTTGGTCAGGGGGCCCTGTCTGGCTCTGTTCAACAAAGGACTCCTTTCGCAGGTCATCTTTTCTCTGGCTTGCTCGAACACTTCTCTGTGTTGCGATTACTCTGAGTTTTCTGCTTTTTTCTTGGTAAAGGCTTCCATCCAGTTAGTGAAAGTGTTTACCTATACCAACAGATATTGACTATGTTTTTTTTTTAAAGAAATATGAGTGAAACATAATTGGTATTCCTCTCCTGATTATGTTTTTCTTTGTACACTGAGGAGAGAGGAAGCCTCTGATTTATGGGGTTGTTTCTCAGACAAACCTTACAGGTCCCCACAATCTGTTTTATAATTGTGAGGAGGTCATTTCCCTTAGAAGTAGCCTCTGGGCCAGTTAAAAGGTCTTATCCTTCCCCTGTAAGAAGGTGGGTGGAGAGTTTTAAGTTTTCCACTGGCATAAGGAAAGTAGATTCTGAAGCCTGGAGTGCAGCTTGTTCTTTCAATCTCTTTTCGGAGTCTCACAAGTAACGTTCCATCTTTCCAGGCAAGGTCACTGACTTGGGACAAACTCTGGAAGGTCTGTCATGGTTGTGTATCTGTCAGGGTCATCTGAAAATCTTCCCAAGTTCCCCTTTATCTGTCTAAGGTCCTGCAAGGATAAGTGAAGTTGTATATGTATGGGACCGCTGAACCCTCCTGAAAAGATAAAATAGATGTGTCTAGGTGGATATATTTTTTGGTAACAGGTAATCCAGGTGAGAGGAGTGAGGGGAAAGGAGCAGTGGGCAGGCAGGTTGGTGCAGACCCTTGATCTTACCCTTAGGATTCCCAATTCTAGTTTCATATTATTTTTCAAGACCTCTGCCAGTAAAATATGGGAGAACAATGGATTTGCATCAAATGGAGGCATTGCCAAATCCCCAAAGGTTTGTTTGTCTCTGTGTTAAGAGAGACACAGATGCCAACAACAGTTTTCAGAGCAGGAAAAACAAACACTGAAGGAAAATTATGTTTTGCCAGAACACATGATCAAGAAATTAAAACATCTGATGATAAAACACTGTGTCCAGATGGTATTTATTTCTGGCTTCCCAAAGAAAAAAAATGATCAACAGAAAACCATAGATCCCAAATGCAATTTAATTCCCTTGGAATCCAAGCCATGTAAGTTGGTAGGGAAAAACAAATATTCTTATTTTTTGAATATTTGAAAAGAAATATAAACTTATTCAGACTTACAGGCAGATGTTATCTGAATAAATATATTTCAAGCAAAATTGAATTTATCAATACTTACTGTTAGAAATAATTAAAAAATGTAAGTGATTAATTTTGGTTGACAGGAAATTGATAATAGGACAATTTATTAGTTCTTTTTACAGATAATTTCTCTTTCTTGTGTTAATGACAATTACGTATGGCCATCTGACTTACTTTCATTGTACAAAGTGATATAGTTCTTCATACACGCTCATACGTCCATCATTGAGGGCATGGACAATGGCAGAGAGTCCAGCGTCCTATTGTCAAGATATAGTAAACAGTTTAATAGGAAGCCCATCTTTGTCTGGAAGTAGAAATGCATACTGCATTGTATCCTCACATCTGGATATGATTGTCTCCATTACACAGTGACTATACATCTCCTTAGATGAAAAGCCACAAAAACAAAATCAACAACAGGAAGAAAAATAGAAATTTACAATGCCATGAAATAAAATAACATGCTGCTAGATATGATATCACCATTACACAGTTACTACACATCCCCTTAAATGAAAAGCCACAAAACAAAATCAGTAACAGGAAGAAAAAAATAACAACACCATGAAGTTAAATAACATACTACTGAATGATGAATTTGTCATTTAAGAAATGAAAAAAAAGAACCTTCTTGAAGAAAATGATACTAGTGTATGATCTCTGAGTCATTGAATAATCAGAAGAAAGTGTTTTGAGGAACGGAGAGTAACAAAAAAAAAAATCCACGAGATATATTTCCCTTTGGTCTTTGTTGGTGAGATATGTCTCCTGTAGATTTTGTTTTTTAATACAGTCTACTAATCTATGATGTTTGATTGATGAGTATAACCCATTTGCATTCAGGGTTAACATGAATGGGTGATAATTTGGTCCTGTGTTTTAGCAATGAGTTGTTCATTGATTTAGTCTCTGTTGTTATTTTACTGGGATGTTCTTCACATTTGCCTTTGGTTTTGGTGGGCATTCTTCCTTTTTTTCTATCAAGAGAACATCTTTAACTATCATTTGTAAGTCAGGTTTGGAAGACGCATATTCTTTTCAATTTTCCTTACTGTGGAAGGATTTTATTTCATTTTCAAAGACAAAAGGGAGTTTTACTGGGTACATTATCCTAGGCCAACACTTTTTGCTTTTAAAATTTGGAATATGTCACTCCATTCTCTTCTTGCCTGTAGAGTTTCCTGTGAGAGGTCTCCTGTGAGTTTAACTGGCATTCCTTTGTATGTCCAGTGATGTTTTTCATGCACATTTAAGAATTTTTTCCTTATGTTCTGTTGAGGAGAGCTTGATTATCATGTGTCTTGGTGGAGACTTTTGGTCAACCATACTGGGAGTTCTGTGTCCCTTCTGGATGTTGTTTCCCAAATCTTTCTCTATTAGGGAAATTTCCCCTTATTATTTCATTAAATACAAATGTGAATCCAGCTTCTCTTTTTGTACCTTCTGGAACTCCCATAACTCTTATATTAGTCCTTTTAATAGTGCCTTTCAATTCTTGAATACTTTTTTCAGCCAGATCCAGCTCTGTTGCCAGCTTTTTGCTTGTTTCTCCCTGTGACAGGAAATATCTTCTAATTTTGAGATTATTTATTTTGCCTCCTTCATTCCATTTTGGAGACTCTCCACTGTACTTTTAATTTGCTCCACTGCATTCTTCATTTCTGATATATCAGCTTTCATTTGATTCATTTCCAGTGTGACATAATCCTTGAATTCCTTGAATACCAACTTTATGTGCTTCTAGTTGTTGATAAGAAGTTTTATAGCAAGTGTTTTGAATTCTACATCCCACATTTTCTTGATGTCTTCCTCAGTTAACTGTGAGTTTGGCAAAGGGTTTTGCTCCTTTGCAGGGGAGTCTTCAGTAATATTCATTGTGCCTTTGTCTCTTCTTTTCCTCTTGGTCATTGCACTTCTGGTTATCACAATCTTCTCTTTGGGGCAGGTTTCTAAGCTATGTCACACACAAGTCTGCACTTTGGTTTTACTTATTGCAGTTGGTACACACCTCTGCTTGCAGTCAGTTGTGCCACTCCCTCCAGCGAGTTCCAGTTCTGGGTTCTTATGTTAGATTTCCACCATGGTCTCAGTAGCCCCAGATCCTGACTCACTGGTCTCCACCTCCTGTGATACCATGCAGAGGCTGCACCATTGTCTTTAAACCTTTACCCCAGTTTTGGTTCAAGCAGTTCCTAGGATTAGAGAGACACCAGGTGTCCTTCACAGCTAGGTTGGTGTAGGTGGTGATCTTGGCAGAACCTTTTGGACATTAGGTCTGGATGCCACATGGACCTATTTTGACCTGTACTATGCCAAAATCTGCATTATTTTCCTGTGGGACTAGTGCAATGCACTATGCTCACTGTTGTCCCTGAGGTCTTGAGCTCTTGCCACACTGAAGGAAATGGCATCTGCTGTCACACTACTAGAGTTCTTTATCTGCTGGCCGTCAGGTCTGAGGGCTACCCAGACCTATTTTGGGTGGAACCTGTAGGATGCCATGTTGTTGCAATTTGCTGAGCCAGGAATGAGTTCACTCCCAGCTCCGTGCATGCACCCTATACATAATGGTGATGGATTTGGCTCTAGGGAGAGGCCTGGGCTGTGAAATCCACATTGTTCCCACACTGCCTGTCTGGGATCTACTGTACTGTCTCTGCTCCTGGTCAAATCAAACAGCAGCAGGATGAGCAGTTCTTTTTCGGGGTTCACCTCTGGAGCTCTTGGTGTAAGTCCTTTCCCACCTGGTTGCTGGTAGAGTTCTGGCTGCCAGTGGAGTTCAGATCTCGGTTTGCTGAATGCTGCTGGGGTATCAGTCACTGCAACACCACAATGTTGTCTCCACTGCTTTCCTGTGTCTGTCAGTCTCCAGGTACCCCTCTGTTGTTGTTCTTTCTCTCCTATTTTCTGGAATGTGCCCTCACTGCTTCACAATGGCTAATGTTTCTCTGTCCTTTAAAATGGGTCCTTACCCTATTAGGCCTTCTTGATTCTCTCTTCTCTTTTTCTCCTGCTGATCCACACACCCCTGCTGAGCTCCAGATTCAGTTGGAGCTTATCTCCAGCACATCAGTGCCCTTGTGAGATAGTAACGGTACTTATCACTTTCTTTTCTCTCTGCTGTTGCTGAAGATAATAAACGAACAGAAAATTTTAAAAGGGAATATTCTTTTTCCACAAATGGCTGAGACCTTTTGTCTGGAAATAGCCAAGGGCAGTAGAATAGCTAGAATCCAGTAGAAAGGAAGGCAGGACAGCAGTAATCTGCACTGTCGTGACTCAGTCTCAAGGATCATCTTCATCACCCTTCCCTTCAGTTAGAGACAGAAAGTTAAGTTTTCAGTATTTGAAGGAGTATTTACATGTGCGGACTACATCAAAGAGAGAAAGAGAGAGAGTTAAAGAGAGAAGATGAAGGTGATCAAGAGGACAAATCAGTGAGGGGTATAAATTGGCTGTAGGGGAATC